TAGCGATTCTAATCGAAAACCAAGTGGATATTCTGAAAGCTGGTTTCAAGCTACACAACTTTGCTTCAGAACACATCTCAAAAAAAGCTTTCATTGAGCAGAAAAATGTAAAACTTAGACATCACTGGAAAAGAAAGTCCATTTTCGGTAATTCCGTAACCGCCGTTATTTTTTTAATAACTCCCTATGGGATGATCCAAACTCAACGAAATTTTCGGACATGATAAAACTCGGTACTGTCTACCTCTGGTAAAAGCGTCATCGCGTTTGGATCATTCTCAGAAGAGTGATGGCACGTGTAAGTTGAAAAAAAGTAATTCCGTAACATTTGGACAAGCTGATATGGTCTTTAATATATAATAAACAATCCCCTCCTGAACCATTTCTGTAAATTCAGGTATATCCAATTTATCTGTTGTCACTGAGTCACTTAGCCAGCTCTCTACTATTCCTACCAACAGAGGATTTTCCATTCGTACATGCTCATATAAAAGTTCAAATTTCGAAACATTTGGCGCGCTGTCACTTGATTCGCTGAACATACTACTGATGTTCAAAAAAAGTCCCTTAGTGTTGATATCCAATTTACCACTAGTTAGACTGTCACTCTTATTTGATTTTGTCGTCAATTGATAAAATGTCAAGACTGTCTTCAGTCGATATCGAAACCAAATAATGAGTGGGGTGTAAGAAATGAGATGATATAATGAAAATGAAGTCAATCTTTATTTCACACTCCTCTCTATTGTAAAGACGGGGAAACGAAAGAAGAATATGTATATGTAAACTATCACGTGTATTTTTCTTGTCCTACTCAGACGGCTGTCAGTGCAAAGACAGTAGGGATACAAAAAATGAATGACAGTGAGTCACTTGAGATGACATTAGAAGAAGAACAAATATATAAATAATAAATGTAGTTTACCCTAGCTAAAATCGTTATGAAGTTTCATTTGAATTTACGGTAAGTGCTTGAAAATCTATATCGAATGATATATTCCTTCACGATCTTCAACAAATCGATCCACTTGCAAATAAAAGTGTAATGCGCCAAAGTGATGCTAATTAGCATTAATTAGCACTTATTAATTATAATCTAGTACTTTACAAAAGTCATTTAAAATTTTTATGAAACTATTAAACTTAATTAGTTAATAACACTTACAATACTTGACCGAATTCTGTTCTACTCCAAAGGCATATCATTGATGGTGTTCTCTACAAATAGTTTTAGTTAAGGGTTTACTTAGTTGAGGACACTCTCATCCCTCCCATAACTCGACGTCCTCTATTCAACCATGTCAAGGAAAGTGCTGGCTAACTCACGACTTAACACTCTCAGAGATCGTACGAATGTGAAGTAAGTATAAAATTTGGTCTTTGAGCAGCTATTTCCAATCCAATAAAAGATTACTAAATAAGTTATGAAAAATCATGACGAATACAAAAAAAACAGCGGATAATGCGTGAAACTGTTTTTTCTTTTACCAAGGGAATATTGTTATGTTGGATCCTTGTGTTGAATCAATTAATCTGCCATAATGTTCAGCTTTCAACGATTGTAAACATTCAACAATATTTGTAGTAGCCGTATCAATGTCTAGATCAGCGCTGTCGCCGCCCATGTCGGTTCTAACCCATCCGGGATGTACCAAAGCAATAAAAATTCCTTTTTTCTCCCATTCTTTTGCCATGCAAACTGTGAACATGTTTAACGCAGCCTATACAGACAAAAGAGTTAGTCTTTGTGAGGTGTTGAAAGAAGCTCACGGCTTTCCAACTAACTGTCCTCTTTTTTCGCCCTTCTTTCGCTTAATTGAACAAGTATACGAATTTGTAGAAAATTGTTTGCTCTACTATATATAATAGCTTCTAAGGTTTCAACTATTCTAGTTAATATGTACTAATCAAACAAAAACCAGAAAAACGGTAACAGTGTGATAAAACCATCACACGTTTTTTAGTTCGCCTAAAGTCGGTTTTGGAGCTGTTGGTACAACAGCGGCATTTTTATAACCTATCAATGTTCAGTACCCAGCAACTTTTTTAATTTTATAGAGAAACGTTTAATCTGCTTAATTATGTGGTTGCAATTTAGGTTAGTTTCTAGTTTTATTGCAATAATTTTTTGAAAAAGAACGTAAAAAAGGGGATCGTTAGCTGGAAAAGCCGCTCCCTTGCTATCAATCGGGGCAAAAGAAAAAGGTTATCAATGTCGATTCGCGCAAATGAAGGGTGAAGCTTTCTCATGGCTAGCTGTTTGTTCAGTTAGCAAGAGGTAAATCTTTGCTCTTCGTGACACAAATTCAAAGTTAAGCGTACTATCTTGTGGAGAATATAAATTTTTTGCTGCAAATTTATATACATCTACATTACTGAGGAAGGTTAACCACCGCCACAATTGTACACTCTATAGAACTACAAAGACATTACAATCTTTGTATGACCACAATACGTACTTTACTGCATTGATAGTCATAAGCAAAAAACGGGAAAGATTTTGCTAGTTCCATTGAACTCATTAAACTCGATATCATAATGATGCTTGATTGCTGCGCGTTATGGGGTTGATTTGATTTCACCGATTTTTTTAATAATGGAAGAAAAACCTAAATATAAATAACAAAAATGAGTTTACTACTCTATTTGGAACTTATTCATATTAGAATGACAAACCTTTGTTACTTTCCATGGTCCGATAACATTACTGTTATAGGTATTAAGCATTTCTTTTTCAAGAATATTGTCCAGTTGTAAACCAGTGTTTATTGCAGCGTTATTGATCAACATATTCAAACCTTGTCCATTTAGCTTTTGTTCAACTGTATGATAAGCCGCTTTTAT